CATTCTGCTCATAAACTAAGTTTGACCTATCTTTATTAAGAAGTAGATTTAACAATTAAATTATTTTTGTTTGGTATTAATATCCAAAGATTACTTGAAAAAATCATTGTGTACCAAAGGATGCAGATTAGTTACGTTTATATATTCTTTCCATTTTCAGTGAAAGTAATCTAAGATTTTCTAAGGCTGTCTACTGACATTTTAAATATAGAATTATCTTTTATTTTCCTTATGAACATGCTAAAATTATAAATACTTCTTTTAAAATTTGATGTGATTTTTATATATACATGTGTGTATATATATCTCTTTCTAATACATTTTATGTGTGTGTGTATGTGTGTATCCCATATATATATGTAGAGTGGAAACCTCCTCCGACTTGGTTAATTTTTCAATTGGCAAGAATTGCTTAGAGCTACCACTTTAAATACATAATTTTATTTTTTTATTTTTGGCACACAAATAGCATGTTATCTAGAGTTTGAAACAGAGGAAACTGTGCTCTTAGTTATATCACATATCTTCCACGGGGCTGCATTCCAAAAAGAAATTATTTAAAGGAAACAGGATACTCTTCTTTCCTTGAATAATGACAAATAAATGTGTGTAAAACAATTATTTCTTCACATTTCCTCTCTTGGATATGTGTACAAGGGAACACAACCCTTGTGATTATTTATGGACCCATTTCCTATCATGTTTGGCAAAAACCTGAAGCTCTGCCTTTTACCCATCTTTAATTACCTATTATATTGATTCCCCTAGTTTTGCAGTGAGTCATCACAATGATTAAAATGATCATACTGTAGGTGAGATTGGGAACCCATAATCCCACACAGCTGTTAAGAGACATGAACTAGAATATAATTTTTCAACGTGAATTCCATGGAACACTTATTTTGCATGCTTTGTGGGGGAAATAGAAAGGTTTGCTGGAAATTTAGATTACATGTTAACATACTTAAGACTATTAGAACTCCTGTAGTTTTTTTTTTTTTTTTTTTAAGTTTTGATGAGTTTATTTCCATTTCCCTGATGCTTATTTGAAAACTTTTTGGAATATCCAAAAGGAACTTTAGGTATTTTTTGTCTGTGAAAAAGGCTTGGGTTAGCATTAAGATAGATCAGCTATCAGTGGCCTTATTATTTTGATCATTATCATGATTGGATGGGTCAATTGAAGTAAGAGCTTGGAGGTGAAATATGTAGTAACTTATCCAAATGTCACTCAAGATATAGCAAAAAGGATGTATATAGAGGATATTCCCTGCTCTTAATCTGCTGTATCTAAATCATGCCATTGGAGATTTTCATACAGTTGCTGGCATAATGAGAAAGGAACTATTCTGCAAACAGATGCCGGTAGTGTGAAATTCCATTTCTTGCGATACACAGCATGCATGTGTGTTATTTGCCTTGGCAGCACATGATTCGTGCTAACCATGGGGGGAAAAAACTTGCTTCAGAGACTAATGAGATGGTCTCATTTATTAGACAGTATTTTTCATAGGACAAAATATCTTTTCAAAAGGTTAAGAACAAGAGAGAATCTTTTTAAACAGTTTGCCAGTTGCTTTATAGCTAATGAAAACAATAATTGTTAAAAAAAATACTGTTAAAAGCGATAAGATATTGCATCAGAAAAAGACTTAATGATTTATGAACAGAAAATAGAAGATGACATATTACCGTATGATCCACTGGCAAACAGTCGGGTTAGAAGGCTTTGGATAATGGGCAGCCTGGAAAGACCCAGATGACTCAGTCAACAAAAATCTTCCATCACAAGCTGTGGCTGCAGAAAGATGACAATTAATATTACACAAAACAATCTTGGAATCCAAATTAGCTAACAAACATTTCACAGAACACTCATGACAGAATCTGTACAAGGCTATTTTACAAAACTGAAATAACCAAATGGGAGTTAATCAAATCTCGTTTCTGAAATCTATTAGGTATTTTCAAATGCTCTTACACATCTCATCATGGAGTACTTTAGAAAAGCATTCCATTTCTAAACGCCCATACTTAAGCTGCATTTTAAGTGTATTCTTCCATATTTGTAAGGAAACAAATATATATCTGAATATAATTAATTTTGTGTCCTATTTTCATCATTAAATTGGAACTACGTGAATTTCAAATATATGTACAAAATGCTATGTTTTCCTGAAAATCATTAGAATAAGGCCAGGCAAATGACAATGCTAGATAATTCCATCCAGCCAATCTTTTCACCCATCTTTTAAACTTCATAACTCTTGCTCCTTTTGGAGAGACTTACTATCGAGCTCAATTATTTTTGGTCAATATTCCTGATTATAACTTTTGCTTTCCACAATTGTTCATTTTCCTCTTTTAGTTCTTGTAACACATTTATTTAATGAACCTCTTCTTCATGTCATGCATAATTAGTTGTCTTTAATTTATATCTGAATCATTTCCAACCAGATTAAAATCTTCTTGAAGGCATGAACCAGGAGCCATACTTTACAATTTTTTTGTTTACTTCGTGAACTTGCTATGTATAGTATGTGCTAATTTTTATTTTTGCAATTTTTAGTTTTCTTACATTATTTTCTTTATATTTAGTTACT